GGGGGGGGGGTGAAATAACGTTAGTCACACAGTTGAAAAGCAGAGTTGTGACAACATTGTCCTATGGGGTCTAGGAGTCTCCCCTGGTTCAAAACCATCTTTAGAGGCATCGGCACGCCATTTCTCGAGCCGCTTTTTCATTTGAACCCAAAAAAACATTCATATCTTGGTTCGAAAAAGTGAGGTGGATGTTCCGCCATTTTAGAAGCCCATTGCCGGAGAGGGGTGTTCAAGCAAATGGCGGTGCTCACAACTGACGATCACCTCGCATTCTCGAACATTTCAGAGAATTATGCATCATTTCGCGATTGCATTCACATCAAATGAATAGTGATTTAATAATAAATAAATATTTCCTTGATCCAAATAAAAAAAATCCGTAACGTCTATTAATCTCTCATTTGGAATGATCGAATCCTTTAGTTCGCGGAATTAAAGAATTTTCAAACCGAAATGAACGGGAAAAATTAAAAATGATGAATTCTTCTTCAAACACGTCATTTCTGTTAACGTAAAATACAATATCATATTTTTTTATTCTCATCCGTGCAATTTATCAATTTTACTTAATCTTTTCATCGAATTCCCGTTGAATCATCTCCTCCTCGGGGCTTTCGGCTCGACACGGATAAGACCCCAGAGTTTTTGCCAGATTAATGAACTCCTGTCGATGGAGGATACAGTGGGCACCTTTAATACCTCCAGCGATTGTCGAGAGAAGTATAAACGATTTGTTGATGAAACCTTTGACAGTCTCGTACGTTGTAAAAAGTTCGATTATCTGCGACAGAGTATTTGCGTAAACAAAACATATGACGAAAACAGTGTAGGCTGGGTATAATTTTTTCCTCCATGCGGGCCACCAGTCTTGGGGTACCCACACACCCCAGACCCGCAGGAGGGCAATGCTGTACGGTAGCATTTAGAGAGTATGAAGTAGTGGAGTCGATGCCTGAGAATGATGTTCATGGGAGAGCCAACGACAGACTGAGGCGAAAATCACGGAAATAATATCACTCGTATGAATAAATTATCATTTGAAATTGTCGCATGTTCCGACGATTCGTGCTTCAATAATTTAATATGGAGAGTTTGGAAAAGACGGATATTTGAATTTCCACGTTGCTTGAATCGAATAGGCGACAGATGGCTGTTTATTTATGAATGATGGTTGATATTTTTTTATGGAAAAGAGAATTCAGGGGAGTTTCTGGTGCTGAGGGCAACGCACTCTTATTTTGATTGCGAACGCCGTGATCTTGGGATTTTGTATGAGGTCTTTACAGTGAAACGGCGCTTTTGCTTTTCAATTTCATCGAGCGAGTGTTCCATTTCACCGTATGGACCTTGTATTATATTTTCACGATTGCATTTTTTTAGAGAAATAAAATGTGCGTCGAGTGCCGCTCGAGAAATGATACCTTTGAACAAGGAGACTCTTTATTTAGAATTTTTTCCATTCATTTTAAGAATATTTCTGTTGGAAATTAATGAACGACTCATATTCAATTCAAATTAAGCGTTATTACGTGATAATAAATTATTTATTTGCGTTAAAGAACTATTCCTTGATTTTTTTGTCTGTTTGTTTTATGCGAGTGTAAACGTAAATAAAAATCAAGTTTAAGTTTGGGAAATTATTCACAGAGAGAAAGGAGTTGGAGTTTTTTCAAATTGAAAAATTGGGGACTCAATTGCAAAAATTAGAGGACAAAATAACTAATATTTGGGATTTTTCTCTGATTTCATTTGATATTCGGATTTTCTATCCGTAGACTAGAAAATGCATGTTTCATTGCGAATAGAAATGAATAATTGAGTGTGGGAAGGGTTTCAATACGGAATAAGTTGAAAAAATCGTGCGGATAAAGAGTCTCTTGGATGATGATTTTTTAATGAGACGGGCAATGCGAAAAATAAAAGCGATTTTACGGCAGTCTTCCGTGGACCTTCAGAGGGTTAAGATGTGTTTAAAAGCTCTGAAGGAGAGAATACTTTGGTGGCCGATTTTTCTTGATATTGAAGTTTTTTTCTTCAACAAACACAAAATTTCATAGAATAACCTAGCGAATTCGATGGAAAATTCCACTGGAATTCTATTGAAAATTCTATTAGTTTTTGGACGATTTTGTTGAAGAACTCCGCAGCTCCTGTGTAAATTTTAAAAATTTTTTTTTTCACTCTATTTTTATTTTCTCTTTTCATTGGAAAAATCAAACGAAAAAACTTGAAATGTTGAAGCCCAGGAATTTATATAGCAAATTCAAGAAAAATCAAACGGAATTTCCCGCGAATTCGCTAGGTTTTTCCCCACCGCGTCCAAATCCGAGTGGTTTAACAAAGTTTTTGCTCAGACTGTACGACACGACAGCTTCACGAATTTTTTTGCTTTCGCACCACAGAGGACGGTAAGAGTAATATTATAGTACTACTACATTGCCACACTCTTCACTTTCCCGCCAGAAGATGATCGTCCCTATAAACAGGTTAGCTCTCCAATGAATCTAAAAATAATTGGGGTAAAACGGACGAATTAATTGTTTTTTTCAATTCCACAACCTATTGAATTGTTTGCGAAACGGAATAATTTTTTTTGTGGTTTAAGTGAAGTAAAAAAAGCATTTTTTGCACGCTTCATGCGCAAAGAGCTGCCTTTTTCTAACCAGTATCATAAAATATCGTACGATATATACGAAAAATTGTACTTTCTGATGAGTGGGATTACAGGTCGAGCCAAAAGCGAGGCTTTACATTCGTCAACAACTACTTTTTTTCACATGTATCGTAAAGTATTATATTCTACCAAGAATTAAAAAAATCGAGAGGCCATTTTACCCCACGTTTTCTCAATTAATTAAAGGACTGAAAAGTCAATCAAATTTTAAATCTCCCAAAATAATATCATGTGACGATCCCAATCATGCTGCTGTTTGATTTTTAGTTCCATTATTGAAGTTCATAAATTTTTTATTAATTAAAAAATTATTGGAGTGGAGAGTGTGCAGTTATGTATTTTGCATAAAACACTCAGAGAAATGGAGCATTCAAATCAAATTAAATTCTTTAATGGAAATATTTATATATTTCTCTACAACTCTTTGTTAATTTTGTCTGATAATTTTCTCTTCTCCATCGTAACAAAAATAACTATTCCCACACTATCCACAGAACCCACGGTAAGTGGACGCAATACGTAATAGTCGAGTTGCAAGGGGACCTGGAGGCTGCCTCCTCAGACCCAGAGAGTGGCCAGTTTCTCGGTGACCTTCACTACAACGAGGCTGGTATCCCCATAATGATCCTGGGGATGCACGTACTCCAGGGAAAAGAGACAATCCTGGCAAAACCAATGGCTCTGTTCGAACGAAATAAAAATGAGGGTGAAGAGGTGGAGTATCTAGTCAAGGGGATAATCACGAAGAAGGTGATGTTTCGAGGAAGGCCGAAGCCCATCGTCACAGATGTTCCCCTAACCAGATAAATATTCTCAACTCAATACTTTTCACGTACACAAAATGAGTCGTTTTTCATCCAAAATAACTCAAGATCCACGGAGCGAAATTCATCATTGTTTCTCTCATCTTGGAGCGATTTTTTTGGGCTTCACAATGAGACTCGATTCAATCAAATTGCACCATTTGGTCAGGAGATGTTGATGATTTTAGAAGGTTCACTTTTTACGACATCAAGGGAGGAAAGGGTTTTTTTTCATTTCAAGAGGGAAGGGTGGATTTAAGAGTTATTTTATTACAAATGAATTATTTTAATACAAATTAGCGTAAGTTAATCCTTCATCTCGCCCTCCTCGTCCTCCTCCTCGACTCCTCTTATGTACATGACGTTGTTACACCGAATTAAAACCTCCCCGAGGTTTCCTGTGCACACCCCATCGACGTGTTCCTCGGTGTTGGCTAGTTGGAGGTTCATGTAGCCATCGACAGAGACTAGATAGCCTTTGTACTCGTGTCCCCACTTGAGTTTAACCATCACTGGCTTTCCGGTGAGACCATTGAGGAATGGTTTGGGATTTATGGGCATTGTCGCTGCCATTGTTGATGATTAGTGGTTTCCTGAAAATACAGTTGCGATGGTGAGAGGAAACATCGGGGTGAATTTTATAAATTAAACATGTCAAATGAGTAATTAGAATTGCAGTGTACAAAAATATTTTGTCATGCTCGAAATTATCAATAAATTAGGCTTCTAGGCCTGCATTTGAATCGAAATGTTGGCATTTTTAGTGATCATTTAATTCAATTTAATTTTCAATAAATGGGACCGCAAGAACGAATATAACCTCTTCTTTAAACGTGTAAACAACGGTTGAGGTTAGAATATTTCACCGGAAAACGTTTTCAAATATACTTTACAATTATGACGTTTGAAAATTATTCGCTCGCTCGACGTGGATTTCTCATTTATTCATCTTTGAAATTAATGATAAATACTCAAAGTTGACTTACTTGGAGGTGTAAAAATGAGTAAAATATACGTTTTATTTATTGTTTAAGCGGTTGAGCGTCAGTGGGGGCGGGGGGGGGGGCGTTTGTACAATTTCAGTCAAAGAGGATAGACTAAAGTAGAGGCTCAGATCTCGGGGTTCAGGCGACCCCCAGCCGAAAATAGTATCACCCCAATGGAGGGATGGCGCCACGGTCGAATCTGACGGCTGGGTGAGCTGCCTGTGTCGATAACTTGGCAGTAGTAGTCCCGCTGTCACACGGATAGTTTCGGAGAGGAACTTATGCCCTCCTCGTCATCAACATGTTGTTAATGTTTTTCAGGTGATTCATTTGAATTAAATTCCCCATCAATCGATCCCCGTTGCATCCCTTAAACTCTGTAACAAAAAATACAAACTAGGACAACAGTCATGGGCCAGTGAGAAAAATAATTTTCTTCTCGGCGCACAGTGACTTTTCACCATTCGCCCGCGAATTAAAAATTTCGTTTTTCGCGAATATCTCGGAAACTATGAGAGCTAGAGCCTTAAAACCTATTCCATTCGATTNGTTACACCCTATACACGACAAATTAAATTAATTTTTTTTACGATTTCGTTTTTCGCGATTATCTCGGAAACTATGAGAGATAGAGCCTTAAAACCTATTCCATTCGATTCCTGAGGAAATTTGGGTTCCGTATAGGCAGATGGACGGCTCAGAATTGCGTTTTTCCACTTCCTACACCCTATACAAGATGAATTAAATTAATTTTTTTTGGCACTTTCGTTTTTCGCGATTATCTCGGAAACTATGAGAGATAGAGCCTTAAAACCTATTCCATTCGATTCCTGAGGAAATTTGGGTTCCGTATAGGCAGATGGACGGCTCAGAATTGCGTTTTTCCACTTCCTACACCCTATACAAGATGAATTAAATTAATTTTTTTTGGCACTTTCGTTTTTCGCGATTATCTCGGAAACTATGAGAGATAGAGCCTTAAAACCTATTCCATTCGATTCCTGAGGAAATTTGGGTTCCGTATAGGCAGATGGACGGCTCAGAATTGCGTTTTTCCACTTCCTACACCCTATACAAGATGAATTAAATTAATTTTTTTTGGCACTTTCGTTTTTCGCGATTATCTCGGAAACTATGAGAGATAGAGCCTTAAAACCTATTCCATTCGATTCCTGAGGAAATTTGGGTTCCGTATAGGCAGATGGACGGCTCAGAATTGCGTTTTTCCACTTCCTACACCCTATACAAGATGAATTAAATTAATTTTTTTTGGCACTTTCGTTTTTCGCGATTATCTCGGAAACTATGAGAGATAGAGCCTTAAAACCTATTCCATTCGATTCCTGAGGAAATTTGGGTTCCGTATAGGCAGATGGACGGCTCAGAATTGCGTTTTTCCACTTCCTACACCCTATACAAGATGAATTAAATTAATTTTTTTTGGCACTTTCGTTTTTCGCGATTATCTCGGAAACTATGAGAGATAGAGCCTTAAAACCTATTCCATTCGATTCCTGAGGAAATTTGGGTTCCGTATAGGCAGATGGACGGCTCAGAATTGCGTTTTTCCATTTCCTACACCCTATACAAGATAAATTAAATTAATTTTTTTTTGCGATTTCGTTTTTCGCGATTATCTCGGAAACTATGAGAGATAGAGCCTTAAAACCTATTCCATTCGATTCCTGAGAAAATTTGGGTTCCGTATAGGCAGATCGACGGCTCAGAATAGCGTTTTTCCACTTGTTACACCCCGTACAAGATAAATTGAATTAATTTTTTTTTGCGATTTCGTTTTTCGCGATTATCTCGGAAACTATGAGAGCTAGAGCCTTAAAACCTATTCCATTCGATTCCTGAGAAAATTTGGGTTCCGTATAGGCAGATCGACGGCTCAGAATAGCGTTTTT